CGTCTTATTTTTATCTATTCTAAACATTCCCGGCAAAAAAAGCCAAAAATTAAAAAAAAAAATTTTTTTCATAAAAATTTTTCTAAGTCTCGTGCCCCATAGCGCCCCGTTTCCTATACACTGACCGAAAAACGCCTAAAAAGTCGAATCTCGGCATTAAATTTCGGCGTGCGAATGCTCGCAAAGCTAATAATCAGATTATAGCTGCCTAATTAATATTCAGAAGGTATTTCAGTGAAGTGTATCTCGATTTAACTCGCTCGATCGAGGTGCAATCGAGTTTTCTCTTAGGGATTAGTCCGTCGGCGACACTTTTAAAATTTCTGAATCGCTGAGCGTCAAAGCAGTCACTCGAATCGAACTTTCAATTCGATATTTTAAACGTGAATGTTTTAGAATTGACATCAATTTTCCAGAGGAATAGTTTTCTATTTGGTATTTTTACCTTCTTCAACGAAATAAGTAAGCCGACTTAAAAGGGCATTGAAACTATCAGTCAGTCTAATAGAGCTATTTCAGATATAATGGCTTGCAAGATATTTTGTCATCTTTGTGACAAAAGCTTTACATTTTTTAAATCACGCATCATAATATTTAAATACTTAGTTAAAAACAATTAGACAATTCTGAGTTTACAACGTTCCTCACGCGTTCGTTTATAAATTCGCCCAAATAAAATCATTCAGGTAATTAAGCTAAATTGACTTGCAGAAGTTTATACAGCTTTTTATCTTACAAACTCACTTAGTTACACCTGTAAGAAAGTCAGTTAATTCAATTAAATGCGTACTCCGAAGTAACACTGTCTGTGAAATCAATTATACTTTTTCGTCTTTAACACCAACAATTGTTGCCAGACTGAAAAACTTAGAAACGCAATTAAAGACGATAAGTAGTATAATGAGCTTTCAACAAATATAAAGCTTTTTCTTAAAACGTTTTTACACGAACTATTTAGATTTAGGTACCTATATGTAGATAGTCAAAGGTTGTGTTCACATTATTCTACTGAAGCTGGTGGTATACCTGAACCTCTTCGTTTCATGCTCAAAACTCCCGCTGGCCAGACAGGTTGAAATGCCTTGGGAGGATGTTTACTACATATTTAGCCTTTAGTCTCCTCTTATGACATTCACGCTAAAAGTGGGCGAGGTGGACCTATCCACATACCATACGGATTTCGCAGTCACCTTTTACGACATACACGAGGTGAGTGGAAGTGAACCTACGCATACGGCTGTACCACTTCAGTAAGGAGGTTTATCTAACTAAACTTATTTTTTTGGCGCAAGTACTCTATGCAGAAAAACCAAGACGAAGCGCTAGATCGCACACCGATGTATGGGCAATGTACGGATGGGGGAAGCAGAAAGTAACCGAGATGGTGTTCACACTGTTACGTCTCGCCAATTTCCATAGTGTACTTGCCCCATTAGTATCTTGAATAGGTACTTATTGTATTATTATCTTCACCAGTGGCCCCTCTATCGGTGTCGCTGTTGGGGCGGCCTCAGCAGCTGATCGCTGGTGCTGTGGCGTCGCTGCGCTGTGTCGCTGAGGGCAGCAGACCACCAGCACAGGTCACCTGGTTCAAGGATAACAGGAGTTTTGAAAAAGATAAGGTACGTTCTAATGGCTCATTTTCACGGCAATCCAGACTGTCTAATACACATTGTGTGTTTGAAATTCGAATAACAAATTCTAACGGATCGGTTTTTTGCGGGACACTGTAAATTACTAATACGCTGTATACTTATACTGCTAAATGTGATCCTGCATAAAACGGGATGTATCCGTGGGAATAAGCCCTAGGGGTAAAGATAAAGTTTTAAAAAATACTTTGAAATTAATACTTTAGTCAGTACTTACTCACGGCGCAAAGAGTGAGTGCAGGATTACATCTTTGCGCCATAAAGTAGATTTAGATTTGATTTCCAATTTTCCAGTTGTTTACAAATGAGCCCTCGAAAATCACGAGAAGCATAGAGCCAGTAAAAAATCATAATAGGCCAGTCTAATCCAATAAACAACTATTGTATTCTATGGCTAAGGCTGAGTTGCACCACCTAACTTTAACCGCAACTATAACGATAACCAGTGCTTTTTGTATGGAGTTTGACAGATTTTTGACGTTTGTGAAGGTTAAAGTAAGATGGTGCATCTCAGCCTAAATATTTTTTATGATGTCTTGTTAAAGTAAATTCTTCCTCATACAGGTGACAGACCATTCAAACGAGACGTGGTCAGTCAGCACCCTCGTATTCACCCCCATGCCGACTGACAATGGAGCTACGATAAAGTGCGTCGCTTCCAACCCCTCGCTGCCGACCAAGGCCATCGATGACCAGCTGCAGCTCAATGTTGTGTGTTAGTATATAATTATTACTCGATGGACAGACGATTTGGTTAAAGCTAATAGCGCCTGGATGTGAGTAGCAAAAGACCGTTCGTTGTGGAATTGGGGGAGGCCTTGTCCAGCAGTGATGTCTTTTAGTTGAAACGTACAAATGAACAATATATAAAAACTTTGCTAGAAAAACTGGACATCACAAAAAATAAATTCAAACAGAACTGTCTCATCAGCCTAGTTATCTCAAAATCTTTACTTTGCTATTAAATAGACGTTTTCTCAAATCACTAGATACATAGGAATCGTAAATTATATTCGACTTTGTAAACCATAATAAGTTCAAAGATGACTGTTGCGGCCGCCTACGACCGGACTCCTTGGCCGAACGACACTGGCCACTAAGAAAAATGCATTTTTTTTTCCGTACAATTTCGATTCTCTTTTGTTTTTCTTTCATCGCACGCATTATCGCGATTCGAATTTGTTTAAATTGTTCTAATTAACCAATAATTTTGTATCCCATTTAACTAGTAGGTACTGTTTTTTTTTTTTTTTTTTTTTTTTTTTTGGCTTTCGCGGTTTGCGTTTAGCCACAACGGTTCCACAAATTGTGAAAAATATAAAACGTTAAAATAGCGGATACACCCTACGGAGCGCATCGACTTGAAGAGATCACCGAGGAGACAAGGCTGTCGGAGTAGCGTTTGAGTACCCACTCACTTGAACGTAGCCGACGTGGCGTCGAGAGCGGGATACGTGCCTACATCGGAAGAGGATGAGTTGTTCCAAGGGCCGTCGTTCCGAGAAGACCGAAGTCTGGATGGCCACGGCAAGAAGGCAAGGACGATGACGTGACAATCGAGCAACACCGCATCTCGTCACTGGGAAGATCGAGGATAACGAGACGGTCACATCGGACCTCTCGCTTTGAATATTCCAGAACATGAGAGACAGAGCTGGCAATATCGCGAGAGAAAGGGAAGAGTATAAGATAAGGAGCAGGGCATTCCAGCTGACTAGTTTAATTCAGATAAGAAGCGAGTTAAGAAATCAAAGTGGTCGAAAAGAAAAATTGAAGAACTCAGAAATAAAGCTGTTTACAACAAGTACTCTGCCTTCAAGATTTATGCCGGTTCCTAGCCCACGAACATGCAGTCCACTGCTCATCAACAGTGAGGGTTCTTTCCATTCTTGGAAGTAGAATGGGTTACAGTTCTATGATTTGGAGTTTATCGGAACCATTAAGTTGTATTTTTGTGGTGGTTGAACAAACCTGATAGAAACCTTGGATAAAGGCCTAATTGGGCATCAAAGGATGAGTTTCTTCGGTGGTAACATTTTGGGCATATGAGCTATGGTGCCTAGATTAAGATGGCATGTGTGTGATCGACATTATTGTCATTATTGAAGCAGCTGATTCTAAAATATTGAACGAAAAGATAATTGTGGTAGCGTCTGTATGACCATTGGCGTGGCGCTACTGATTGAGGAGCACGCTGAGCTTCTAGATGATATGGATGTGCTGTGTAATGATGACATAGATGTACTGTGTGATGATGATATAGATGTACTGTGTGATGATATAGATGTACCGTGTGACGATGATATAGATGTATTGTGTGATGATTTCTCGTTTCAGCGGAACCAAAGGTGGTCAGCGTGTGGTGCGAATGGTGATGGAGATGGCAAAGTGGATCTAGCCAGGTGCTCAGCTGGATCCCAATACGAGGCGTCAAGTGTGCCATGAGCAGACCTTCGAGGGCGAAGGAATTGCAGGAAGGCCGAACTGTTAATTGTGAAAAATATAAAACGTTAAAATAGCGGTATCGTTATAGCCAATGATGAGATGCTGTCATAGTGACATTGACAATACGTCAATGTCACACGAGAATCAAACGTGAGAATAGAGGGACGCGCGGAGACGACTCCGCGCGCTTTTGTGCTAAGTGATGAATTGTATCTTAAATAAGGCAATATAATGTGAAAGATGAGTATCCAGTGTTTTATTTATGAGAATAGATCGACCGGCCTCTAATAGTACATTATTTTATTTCCATAAATACTAACGTACCAAACGCAAACGTAACACGGAGTACGTAACCCAAAATTTAGTGATTTAGGCGATCCAATACAATTGTCATCTAACAATAAATGAAACATCATAGTTTTTTGGTGACAATAATTATTTTGTTATCCAGATACTCCCCTAGTGACGCTGAGCTTAGGAAGTACGCTTAAACCCCACGACATCAAGGAAGGTGACGACGTATACTTCGAGTGCAATGTACGTGCCAACCCCCGGGAACATCGTATATCGTGGTACCATAACGTAAGTGGCATAATCAAGTATAGTTGTTGCAATTCACGAAGGCGAATGAGCTTTACATGTGAGTACAAGTTTTGATTGACATTACTCTATCGTTATGTGCATGTACACGTACATACAAGTAAAGCTCACTCGCCTTCGTGTGTTGCAAGAACTATATGTATTAATAAACACAATTTTAATTATTTAACTAGTTAATGGCCTAGACGATCTGTAAAAACGTGTCTAGATTGGACTTGTAATAAGAAATTTTCCTTACGTGACTTCATATTATGTCGTGCGTCTAAACTAACTTGTAAGTATACGATAGACGATGCGTGATTGTAAAATTTCTTTGACCCCATTTTTTGTTACTTTATAACAAATTCAAAACTGTTGATTGCTTTTTAACTGACGCAAAATCTAAGTGACTGCGTTAAAAGAGATTTCGGTCCTTTGCCACTTTATTGCCTGCATTAGTAGGTTATACTCTCATTTTTAATTTATCAAGGGGTCCGGTTCTTAATATCCTTTATCATTTATCTAAGTAACTCAGTAAGCAATTTCCAAGAAAACCTTCCCTCAAAAGAGTTTCCCGTTTTTACAGATGTCTTCCTTCATTTAATATGTACCTTTATTCCTTTTCATCTTGCCAAAAATAATCGTCAACCTATTTATGAAAATCAATCAATTATTACAAATAAAAGGGATCCTTATTTGGACGCAGTGCCCTAAAATGTTTTGACCAATTTAGAAAATTCCGATTTTAATTTGGTTTCCAGGAATAATATTGTTGACCTTTTGAGCACTGAATGGGTTAAATATATTTCTTTTTTAACGATCGTCCGTTTTAAGGGCCAGAAATATCCTGTTTCTGTTTTTAAATTGTTCAATTTGGTTCCTACGAATCATTTGGTATTTTTGGTTTTTACTCGTAATTTGATGGTCAATTAAGTATCAAGGTTTTTGAATAGAGAAAATTTTGTTGATATTTTGATTCGTATCGTAACAATTTAACCAATTATACACAGAATTTCTTGCTGTTTTACACGTTTTAATATTTTTGGCACATACATATTTGGTCATTAATTAAGGGCTCATTATTCGTATACGTGTTTTGAAGTTAGATACGTAACTAGTATGGTAAAGTTTACTCCCAACAGCTTTTCTAGTTATTAAGTAACCTATACATGCCCGTTTTCACCATCAATCCCTAATTTTTTAGTAACCATAATGATAACACGAATATTGTTTTTATAGGGGTCACTTATTATCATAAGGACTCTTTGAAATTAGATGTTATACACACTTTTTAGTCGTAACGTAGTAAGTTGCACCATTCCGCTCCGTGACCATAATTTTATGTAACTAATATTTTTAATGGAGTTTGACAGACTTTTGACGTTTGTTATAAATATTTTAATGTAATGCAATCCAAGTTGGGTCTTGCAAACGCACTACTGTCTCAAAACGTCTAAGAAAGATTTTATATTTCTAATCATCTCTTATCAGTGAGTTAAATAAATAATGTAATCTAGGACAGGCCGGTGACGCAGAACATGACGTCAGGCATCATCCTCAGCACCCGCTCTCTGGTGCTGCAGAGGGTGACCAGAAGAGAAGCTGGTGGCTACTCCTGCAGGGCAGCCAACGCTAGGGGGGAGACTTCGAGTGACATTGTCAGGCTGAGAGTGCAATGTGAGTATTTTGTCTTCATTCATATAGAGAAGAAGTATTTTTGTTAGTTGTCACATCTCAATATGGCTAGTATACAGAAAGAGTTCAGGGCGGAGTAGAGTGATTTTAAACTGGTTTCCAAGTACCTACGCAAGCATTTCACATTTCAAGGAACAGGAAAAAATTTACTATAAAAAAAACATACTTACAGCCGAACATATTATTATAACCTCATCCTTTTTTGAAGTCGGCTAAAAAGAGAACATAGGTTCAAAATTAAAACGTGTGTTTTGATTTCGTCCGCTTACGTTCAGTTTACGCTTTGCTTTTGAATGAACTTTAAACATGTGGACGAGCCAGTATTTAGATTCTTACTGCTACTAGTTTGTACTGGATATAAATACATAAATGTGTACATAATTTAAGTTCAGTGTATTATTACTACTACTCCCATCCCATACTACGCGTGCATCAGACTTACGACTGTCAAATCGTAATAAAACGCTATTGACGCTCACTCCACTCTTGTTTGATAGGGGCTTAAGAAACTATTTTAGCTTTGCGTATGTGAAGGTACAATTTAAATCTACCCAACAAGCGTCAATGGGATTTGTAACAAAATTTATACGCAACGAACCAAACAAAGCTCTATGAATTAAAGTGGAGGCACAACAACAGATTGCAAATACATAACAAAGGTAGAAGGCTCGTTGCATTTGAACAATTGCTTGGGTATATTCAATCACCACTTGATATTCGTATAAATGGCTCATACTTTTTCCTCGAAGTGAACCAATTTATCCTGTAAATTGTATTGATTTATTTGAAATGCATACCACTAGAAACACAAGTGCAGCCTTTCATTGGGCCAATTTTAAAACGTTCAGAGTTAACACTAGAAATACAGAAACTACTGCCAACTTAGATTGTATTTTTGCACCCAATATGCACTGTAATAAAATACATTGGTGTGGTTTTTGTGAAGTTATGTAAACTACAATGAAGAATGTTCACTAATTTTGTTTTTTAGCTTTCTGTATTCTCTGTTAAAAATAAAAAATACACGTGAAAGAATTATTTCGATACGTCAATTAGTTTCCAAGATATTGAATTTTAAAAGTGCGGGCGGCGGCCGGCCCGCCATTTTATGCGCGTGACGTCATATTACAGTGACTGGCTCATATTTGTATGGGTGGAATCTTGCAAGCTGAATTAAGACCCACTTCCAGGCAACCGATTAAGCTGAAATTTCGCAAACACATGTGATTTGGATGACCATGCAATATTATGATGACATGGAGCTGATCTGATGATGGAGCTGGAAGGTGGCCATAGGAACTCTATAATAAAACGACTTAAATCCATCGAGTTTGGGCTCGTTCGTTTTGTATTGATGAGTACTTTAATTCTATATAGTAATCAGGGTGTAATGATGGAGCTGGAAGGTAATTCGCAATAAAACGATACAATCGCATCAAGTTTGGGTTTGGGTCAATTTTAATTTCTGTGATGGGTCTGGGTGTTAATATGTATAATAAGTTTGTATTTACAAAAAAAAATGTATTTAAGTATGTTTATATCCGTTTTCTAGTGAGCGGACACTGTGAATGTACGTCACGCGGGGTCACGTGACCGTCGGCGAGACTCAATATTTAAGCGAACTTTGAATGCCTATAAAATCATAACTACTGGGTATTTTTGAATGAAATAAAAACTTATGTATTTGTAAATGTAAAAGCCTAACTGTAACATAGGTTTCAAGTGATTTTGCATACCTAGTAACATTCTCAATTGTAAGAATTTTTCTACTGTCTATCCTTACAGTGTGGCAACTCCAGAACCGCGATAGTATTAGGTAATAATTTGGATGATTTAGAGCACCGGCGGCTCGGTAGCAATTACTATGCGGTCTTTCGGCCAAGGAAGGAAGTTGGGAACGTCGATGCCGCAATGATTTGAATACCCGCAAACACGTCCCATTTATGGCACTGTATTTCATGTGCTGTGACATTTTACGGGGCACCTACACGTCACTGTATCCGACGCTTGTAGGTTATGCAAATGATGTGCCTAATAAATTGCTGGATACGGACGTTGGCCATTGAATGGCTGGAGGAAGCGGTGTGTTTTTTTAATTGGGAGTAGAGAAGCTAAAACTGTCTGGAAAATTAAATATCAGCACGACTTTAAAAAAAGTCTTGTAGAAGTGGGCATTATTAACCTTTGACATTTATCCATTTTCCAGCTAAAAGAATGTGCTGTCACATAAATAGAGCTATTAAACTTGTGGCAGACAGTAATATACAGACAGGAAGTTAATATGGGATTTCAATTTCTGTTAAAATATAAAGGACAGATAACCATTCCTACTAAAACAACCTATTTTATTAACTTCACTTACATTTCAATGTTTACTCGTATACTTTACATTTACCGTAATGGTTGTACTGAAACCATTCCTTGTTTGATTGAATATACAACAAATATTTTATTCCATTTCACAGATTTATCGAATGCCCGTAGGATTTAATGAGCGAAAAAATAAGAAGTAAGTGCGTTAAAAACTAAAAGTCAGGTTAAAAGCAAAGCTTTTAAGCTCTTTTATTTGTTTTAAAGTCTCATAGTTTTCAGTTTTTCAAGTTATATTTATTAAGTGAGAGAGCCACAGGATAATCTCACAAAAAGAATTCAGTTCTGGATAAGTTTGAAAATCTAAAAGCCTAGTATTTTACGTGGAATTTGATTGCGTGTTTTTATCTGACTTGCAAGTAAAGTCGCGTTCAAAAGCTGGTTCCTTACAAATTAACTTGCCTACTTTTCCGATCTCTTTGATATGAGTGATCAAAGATAAATTTACCTATGTATGAGTTATGTACAGACGACAGCCATATTAAACTTTCCACTAGTAAATATAAGATCACAGTGTAAGCTTGATATGCCATCGTATGTACCAAATGTATGTAAACACAATCGGATCACAATCAACGTTCATTACACGAAGCTGCGTAAATCATCGCCGTGTCCGGTACAAGATTTATTATACAATTCTATATTGCCTCATCGACGGCTTCCTTCCTGAGGATGCAGGTCACCGAGAGCAGCCAGTTGTGGACCATTAACTTGGGGTGACAAGGGTTTACAATTCCAAAATAGAAAATTGAAACAAATTCAAACGACAATTTAACTTTTTTATCTCAAGGTTAATACAAGCCCAGAGTTTAAAAATAATTGTTTAATTTTACACATTTAAGTAATTATGAAAGTATTTGATCAAATTAATGATTAATATATCAAGTCCGATCTATTGAATACGTTTTAACTTGTCATGATTAAATTTTGGATATTGCAATTGAAACTAGATTACAAAGTAAATGATTACTCCTAGGTAAATAGCCATTGAAATTAAATTACAAGAGCATCTATGTAATTCGACGTAATTCAATAAGTTACGCACTACTTACCTTTTGTTGTGCTCAGCTACAACGGAGATTGCCACTTCAGTACCCACTACCCACCTTCAATGACTACGCACATTGTTACTATTGTAGAGCTGACATTTTAAATATTATGGGGCGATAAATAAATAAATTAATGAAGTCCAAATGGAATATCAAGATCTACAACTTTAGTATATTTTTGGAAGAAAATGGCCTTTTTTATCGATATATACAAATTAGGCCATACTTAGCTGTAACTTGTAAGTTTCCTGAAATTGTGAGTATGAAACTTTTCAGTGTTTAAAAATATGAGCTGTTTGTTTTCTTTGGACTGTATTCTTAGTTGCTGACCAACACTTAATTGCCGACGTGAGGAGCAAGACCAAATAATTCCCGCGGCCCAAATAATTGCCTCGCTGATTTATATTTATCGTTCCATGACAGCGAAACTTTATCTACTGCTTATTTTAAATTTATACCCGACTTCTGGCCGGAAAAGTGAAGCTTGTTCAGCAATTTTGTTTTGTTCAGCCGACTAAAATGTATTCTCGTAATGGTGGATTGTGAATGTTCATGAGTGACGGCACTCAAATTCTCTCAAGAGGTCCGCGTAGTCTCACGTCCGTAGTTTCATTCACATTCATCACCTATTCACAAACATTACTATGAGGTCTCACAGTGCGCGTGGACGCCGAACCAATCACAGAGCACTATTCAACGATGTGCTGATTTGCTGCTTTATTAAAGTCAAATATTGCTATAATTCTTTACTTGACAATGGTTATAAATTATACGAGTAAACCGCACGAAGCCATGATTAAAAAATCCTTGTTTATCTTTGCTTTTAAAGGAACCAGTTCAAACTTTCCGTGGCCACTGAAAATTTGTCCTTGTATCAACTTTACTATACGAATGGGTACGAAATAAACCTAGTTGGCAATTTTCAGGACTCGGCGCTTTGAAAACTCATACGCTTAGAGTGGAGGGGACGTAGGATGAGATGAAAATTAAAATCACAATTTACAGCGACTAACAAACACAACTTCAATAGAGGCATAGAAATACTCAACATTGCTCATTAAAATTTACGTTGTTGACAAAGATATTTTGTCTTATTAAATTATATTAATTATGTGCTACGTTTTAAAATTTAACATACTTTCTATAATTCAGAAGTTATTAAGTTAATTGTTGAAACTTTCATGCCGTAAGATAGAGTCTATGGTTTTGAAACAGTAACAATGAAATGTGTTAATTTTAACGGAATTGCAATATCTACTCTACTCCAGGTATATCCTAAGCACCAACAAAGGTTTTGTCATGTTTCTATAGTCCTTACCAGTATACGCGTAATAGACTAGCAATTTATTTTCTAAAGCTTAGTTGCAACCACCTAACTTTGACCGTAACTACAGGATGACTTTTAAATCGTTGGCATCCTTTTAAACTAAGACGCTACTCATGGTACACAGAACATTCCCCAAATATGAGACAAATTATGATGAAAGTTAAAGTAGGATGGTGCAACCCAGCCTAATGTAGTATTAACTTTATTGTGCTTAAAATTCAAAGGTAAGTAGGCTAGTCTAGGTGTATTCGTATTTTATACATAAATTGTATTACATTTTGGCGATTCCTTTATTAATTTGAAGATTGATTAAGCTAAATGGCACGGACAATGCCTGGAAATAGAATCTCCAATCCTATCACTACGATCGAGTGATAGTTGAGAGCTGTCAATTAATTGTATCGATTTGAATGGGCACTTACTATGCCGATGGCTGCCAAGACCTTGCTCTGCTGTTCATTACTTAGTCCTAGAATATTTATATGAATAGGGTAGTTGACATCAAGAAATTTTAATAGTTGTCGTTAATAGGCGATTTCCAGTTAGATTTTGTCAAGTAATAGGTTTCTATGACTTGCACTATTTTATTAACTAAGGCTGAGTTGCACCATCTTACTTTAACTTTGACAAACGTCAAAAATCTGTCAAACTCCATTCAATAAGCACCGGTTATTGTTACGGTTAAAATAAGGTGCAACTCAGCATAACATCACTGATTTCAAAATAATCAAAATTGGCGTCCACGATCTGGAAAACGCAGTAGGAAAGTCTCGTAGGATCTACCCACTAGGTCACGGAATGTACCTACCTCAATGCCAGCAGCACAGGACCGGTTCTTGTGGGAATCCTTTGAGAAGGCCTTTGTCCAGGAGTTAACGTCTTTGGTTGAAATGTACGAAATGGCACTTATTTTAACTTTTTTCCCTACTAGACGCTCCAGTGTGCGGCGAGTCATCGCCCCAGGTGGTGGGCGCAGCGCTGGACGAAGCGCTGCGCGTGCGCTGCTCAGTACACGCTGACCCTGCTGACGTCACGTTTCTATGGCAGTTCAACAACAGTGGGGAGAGCTTCAACGTGTCCCCCGCGCGGTATGGTATGTATTAGACATTGTACATTATTAGGTTGACAGGGAAGATGTTTTAGAAGCCTTTATCTTTGTATCGTCCTTTTTTTGTTCCTTAATGGATCATAGTATTAACGATTATCTATAAATTGACTTGATGTAAATACTAGTATGAGAAAATTCTCAAACTAGTTACGAGCATCAGTCAGATCAAGTTATTTGTTTTCATAGCAACAGTGAATGGGAGTATCAGCGAGCTCCGCTACACCCCAGCCAGTGAGAGGGACTACGGAGCGCTGACGTGTAGAGGGACCAACTCCGTGGGGAGGCAGGAGCAGCCTTGTGTCTTCCAAATTGTACCCGCAGGTAAGAAGTCACATGAAACAATCAAAACATAGTGAACTTCGAACTGTATACAGTAACAGTGAATGGAAGTATCAGCGAGCTTCGCTACACCCCAGCCAGTGAGAGGGACTAAGGAGCGCTGACGTGTAGAGGAACCAACTCCGTGGGGAGGCAGGAGCAGCCTTTTGTCTTCCAAATTGTACCCGCAGGTAAGATGTCGTGTGAACTGAGAAATGATTACTCGAGAGTATAGGAAAAATTGGGATTTAGTTCAAACATCCGCAGGTAAGAAATCACAATAAACAAAGTGAACTGCCAGTTTTGGCATCAACGATGTTCGATTTATGTATAATTGGAAGTCTATCTCATTTATATCATCGTTATCAGAATGCATCTATCGAACGATTAATTTTCAAATGAATAGAACTTAAATATAGGTAGGTATGACGAAATCACTAAATCAGGTAATAGCAATCCAAATCAAAACAAAATAGTCATAATAATAGACTCATTAATTAACATTAAATAATGTACTTCCTTCAAAAATTGAATTGACTGGAGATCCAAAAAAAAAACAACCATTTCTGTTCTCCCCTCATATTTGATCGGAATTCAATTATCTCCATTTTGGTATCAAATTACACGCATAATTACAGTGTCTAAGCTTTCAATCGCCGAGTATACAGTATCAATTAGAACGCGACATAATTTCCTGATTGCTGCGCGGGACACGCAATCAGCAACGTGAAATTAAAATAGTGGTACAAGACCAATAATTGCAATTACCGCTATACAAATTAGATACCACTTAATGTGGAGGGGAAAAAACATGTACAGTCGACGACTATCATTTTTTGTGGCAAAATAGTGTCTTTTACCACTGCTAAAGATGTTCACTGCTACATTTATAGCGATTGTATAAACCTCATCATCATTATCATCATTATTTTCAGCCATAGGACGTCCATTGCTAAACATAGGCCTCCCCCAATGATTTTCACAATGGCCGGTTAGTAGCGGCCTGCATCCAGCGCCTTCCCACTACCTTTATGTGTGAATTAGCAATTTTCTTACATCAATGATGCCACAGTTCCGTCAACGTGTTAGCTCAGTGCAGTATCAGTAATTCAGTATTGCGACAGTGACTTAATTCACACTCATATCAGTAGGTACTCACTTCACCGAGCTTCAAAGGTAGGTATGTCCCTGATTGCCAATCCATGGCTGAACTGAACGAACACAGACGAGACTGTGGCTCCACGGATTTATTATGTGTGAAAATTAGTGACCGACCGAATATTCGTTTTCGTTTTCGGCCATTTTCGGCCAAAAAATGGACATTCGGCCATATTTTCGTTTTCAGCCAAAAACCAACCGAAGCTTCGGCCAAACCGAATATCAGAAATACGTGAATAAGATGGTGACGTTTATCGTTTCGATATCTTCGGGAGTGAATCTGATGCACTCATGGTTCCAATCAGACTTGAACGGACGCGGTATTGTCACACTCTTTTGAAGTTTTGAAGTGAGGTTACATTGTAAAGATAACAGTTAGTGTTACAGCGAAAATTTTCCAAGTTCAAAATTGAATACAAATAAAACCAAAGAGTTTTCAATAAGTTTAATTGTTTCAAAATAGAGTCTAATGCGGATTTGAAATACGCCATGAGTCACTGGTCGATGTGTCTTGCTTCACAGCAAGAAGGTGTCTCACCACACACGGAGAGTACCTCGAAGGAGACACTGAGGACTATTTTTTCTAGCCGCCTCGGTCATCAGATCTCACACCATGCGACTTTTTCTTGTGGGGATATCTCAAGTCAAAAGTTTACAGCAAAACTATCCTTAAATAATTCAGGTTCTATAAGAAAATATCCGCCGTGAAGTTGCAGGAAAATTATTACCGCGATTTGCTCTCGCATAGTTGCGAATGTAAGGGTCCGGCTGTGAGAGTGCTTATAGTAAAACGGGCATCATTAAAAAGACATTGCCTATAAAAAAATATATCCGCATTGTTAAACTCCAGTTTGCATTAGTAATAAATAATAAAAAATCATTAATTTATTTGTATGAATCATTTTTGAAGTTGAAAAATTCCCACTGGACACCCTTTATTTCTTCTTCACTTCCCAATATTTCAATATACACCAGAAATAATATTCTACTAAGAATTCATAATTCATTTTTTTGTGTTTTAATGCCGGTTTTTTCTTTAATCAATCCTTATCAAAAACAACTGTCAAACATCATTATGTTTTTGGTCAAAACATTAACGGTTTTCAAAGTTTTTACATAATTTCAGATTAAAATTTGAGAGTTGAAGGTCATTTTCGTTTTCGTTTTCGTTTTCGGCCGAAAATGAGACTGCAGCCGAAGCTTCGTTTTCGTTTCCGTTTTCGGCTGAAAATCCATATTCGGTCGGACACTAGTGAAAATGTGAATCGACGAAGATTGTTTTTGTATAAAAGTTGTCACAGTCTGTTCTCACTGTCTTTTAACCTACAATCTTTTTACCTAGCTCGTCCATCGCCACCACGGAACTGCTCAGTCACTGCAGGGAACACCACCAACTGGATCGAGGAAAACCATGAGGATTCTGATGTGCTGGTAGTCCGCTGCGTAGCAGGTTACGATGGCGGTTTACCACAGCTGGTGGTTCTAGAAGCTCTGGATTCGGATACTGGAGTTGTTAGGTTCAATGTCACTGCTAATGAAACTGGTGAGTATACATTTTAAGTTACACTATACCTACTGTTCTTTTCATATCGCATCGTTTATCTAATTTACGGAGCGAATTACTTAATTCTATAAAAAAAAAACGAATGAATTTGACATAATTTATTTGCGTTAGCTCCGGATTCTCTGCCTTTTAATTAAGGTTCAGACTTGATTATTATGTACATTGATTGATACACGTACGGTACCTTTCAAACATTTTGACCTCTTTTTATGTTCATGCCACCATTCCACGAAGCCTTTGAACACTTCACTAAGCGGTAGCCAAACGTTTTTAATTGCTTTAAGAACTCGTTTACGCTCGAAAAATAAATTAATTTTATCAATACATTCACAGGAAACTTCCACCCTTGTTTTTCAACCTACAGCTGAAGTCTGACAAGCAATTATTAATTCATGATTAGTATGATTACGCTTAGTACTTTTGGGCTATAAAAGTGTAAATCCCCTACCAGATGGCGTGGCCCTATTCCTAATTCCCGCTTTAGTTCTGTGGTCGAGCGGGCATTCCCTCCGCCTCACGGAGCGTTCGCGGAACGACAAAGGCGATTCCGAACGTTATCATGGTGCACGCTCTGGCATACTTACTAAGACGCAAAGAGAAGGCTTTTCTTCATCCGTTTTGAAATGTGATCTCTAGTTAAAAAGTCTTTTAAGCAATTTTCAGTACATGAGTGCCTACTTTTTTGGCAATAAAAGTGTAAATCCCCTACCAGATGGTGTGGCCCTATTCCTAGTGCCCGCTTCAGTGCTGTGGTCGAGCGGACATTCCCTTCGCCTCACGGTGCATTCGCGGAACGACAAAGGCGCTTCCGAACGCATCATGGTGCACGCTCTGGCATACCAGGACGCGGAGAGAAGAACGGGTGAGTATGGTTTAATCGATTGTTGGGGATGTATCGAAAAGATTATTGACGAAACGCTAATATGTCATCCTCTGGCAGATGTCCAGTCGCAATACTCGATTCAAACTCAAGCGTAAAGATGCACCATAGATGCAAGTCTGCGTTTCATATAAGTAGATATTTTTTATGAATCAATTTCTTGATCGGTCGGCCATGTGTAGAACTTTTTGAATTTTTGAATGTAAAGATTTTTATATCAAAATAAATATCATATTAATTTGTACACCAGACAGGGTCATTGCACTTTCTTTTAGAGACAACGCGCGACGTGACTTACATGATGTTACACAGTTAAAATCAGAAGTAATTTACAGCATCTATTTATTTAGACAGTCCAATAAAATACGATGGGAAACAGCGATAGGTTTACAGTAAAATTATCATCAACAAAAACTGAGATTAAGGTATGGATGAAATATAAATCTTTCAATGAAATTATTTTTACCAAATAACCTTCTTAATCTAATTTAACCACGAGTTTGGCAATCTAATTTTAGAACTAATACGTTTTAGTCGACATCTGTTGCACTTGTCTAGACGAAACATTTAGTAATTCAGCCGCTAGAATCACTACAGACGATAGTCGTTATGTCTGCATAGTTTCAAGTTAGATTCAAGTTTTGCACTAATGATTACAAACTCTGGAACAAAACTTCAAAAATGCTCGTAAAGTTTTACCTAAGTGCTCCGTCACAGGTGTGTAGGAGCTGTTAATAAATAATTTGTTACTCAGATAAAGCCAGACAAAAACATACTTAAGTAGGTAAATAATATAACTTTAGGCATCTCTCTCGAACATTTCTTACTTACCTACAGAGTGATTGGAAATCTAAACAAAGAAATAAGCAGAAAATATAATTAATCTTTTATTCTTTGTATTTACGTTTGTGTTTGTTGTAAAAATATTTGTTTGTTTTAATAAAAATCAGAAAAATACAGATCAAAGCACTCGATTATGTTGCGATGCACGACGCAGCGACACCGCTTGTTCGTCGCACCGCCGCCGCAATGCATCGTGTGCTTTAGATATAAGCGGTATTGATAGTTTACAATTAAAAATACATAGGTATTTGATAGGTAGGTATTTTCACAACTATCAAACGATACATCTGGGATTATGATCTCACAAAATCTATCCTAAACATAATTTTACCATACTTAGCGTGAATTCGACCAAACAAGAGTAAATATTAAAGCCAGTTTTGACATATTTCCCATACTGAAACTGTCAATGTGCCATTATATAGATGACCCACGCTGAACTGTCCCGCCAAACTCAATGACAGGGGGGCGCTACCATCGTTCAACTATATGGTTTCCAACATGGCAAAAATCGGAACCAGCGATTCGGTATTGACGGTGGCGCCCCGCTGTCAATGTCATCGACAGGACAGTCCAGTATTTTGGAACTATACCAGGAGTTATTCTCGGATAAAAGTTTGGTCGAATCAAGCCATAACTTAGGTTTTCTTCCAACAGATGGAAGTATTAGCATGATGGCTGGCGTGTCAAAGGCAGCGTTCTGGTCCATCGTATTCACAGTCGTGGTTTGCGCTAGCGCAGCTGCATTCACAGGGTACTTCATTCGTAAAAAGAGGTAAGACACTTCAAAATAAGTGGGGATATAATCACAAACTGGGAATGTTATTTTTGTGTCAGATCTATAAAAAACAAATAATTTGTAATGTGATTGACAAGTGATTTTAGCTAAAGATCTCAATAGAAAATAATCATATATTTCTATAGCCCTTTTAACATATAAGGCTGGGTTGCACCATCTTACTTTAACTTTAACAAACGTCAAAAATCTTTCAAACTTCATACAAAAAGCACCGGTTATCGTTATAGTTAACGTTAAAGTTATGTGGTGCCACTCAGCCTTAGACATGCTCAAGTCATGGTTGATCTTGAAGTCGAATCTAAAATTTAAAAATATCTGCAGGAAAAGTTGTCATTCTTGTTTAAAATTATTGTAAAAGCACAAATTTTAAACAAATTTACTCTTCGTGGTGGTTTAGAAGCAGACCACCAACGAAGCAGCAGTCGTCCGAGCTGCAACTGAACGCAGGGGATAGCCAGTACGTGGTCGCGTACACTTTGAAGCCTCCCAGGCAAGCGCAGCCGGACATATTGAATCCACCACCAGGTAGGTACAAATACCACTAATTTATGACCTCTAATTCTTACTATAATTTAATGTTTGACGATTTGTAAGTACTGTATCTCTAGCACGAAAAACTTTCGACTTCGAATCGTTTGCGTATTCGAATCACCAGCAAAAAAATTTAGTACGAAAACTAAAAAATCGCCCTTGTGAATGTGTCGTTAAGTAAATTTAGTATGAGAAATGGTTGCACGAAACTTAAGTATTTTTGGTTGAGTATCGAATTTTGTCGAATACGCAAACGATTCTAAGACGAAAGTTGTTCATGCTAGCGGTTATGTTTTAATAGTCTATAGATATTTACAGATAAAGACATTTTGACCATCTCTAGGTACCCATGTGACCTCTATTAGTTACTGCCACCGCAAATACTATGGCCACGTTGAGATTGGCCTTTCACAATTTAGTGCTTTGTCTGACAGTTTCTCGGAATTAAATTCTTAGGCGCGAATTTTGCTGTAGAGACAAAATTGTCTTAAATGTTCCAGATTTTTGGGTTACAATTAATTAAAGTTGGCAACTGCATTCACGTGAAGTTTAGAAGCAACATAAAGCATAAAGATATTGGTGAACAAAATCAAACGTATGACATTGCTATTGCGGACACGATGTCTTAGTTTGGAACCACAAACCGAGCAGTGACATCAAAACATTTGTTACAACATGTAGCTAAAGTTAAAGCTTCAGTACCAAGTTAGACATACATAGCTCACTTCTACCACTCAGAAAAACACATCTCTCACAGTGGTTGACAGTGGTTGTTTTATGAAACCTATAGATACTAACTAGTAGTAACTAGTCTAGCTAAATATTTATTAGTAGCTAATTGATTAAATTAATATTTTGAAGAAAACCTCTTTCCCTTGAATTGTATTTTTCCCATGAACTAATTAACTCCTTTCACTCTGAAACTTGATAGTCATCGTATTTTCAGATCAAAGTTAATCCGTAATTTGTTAACCATTTCGCTGAATTCGAACTAACGCCCGTATTCACAAACATTACTATGAGGTCTCACAGAACACGAACCAATCATAGAGCTCTATTCAACGTTATGCGTTCGATATTCTGCTTCACATAAGCAAGCATCGTTTGTGAATACTGGTGTAAGCCATCTTCACACGTTAAATTCCAACAAAATACGCGTATTTTAAAATTGAGCGGCAATTCGCTACGTTGTAGATGGGGGTCCTCCAGTGAAGGGCGTGGAGGCTGTCAAAAATGGGCCACTTGCGAGCGACGAGTGGCGCGCCGATCGCGGCCCAGTGCGTACGCTTGAAGAGCAGAGGAATGTGAGTACGACTAACATACTGTCAGTTTTTTGGCCTCCTATATTTCTATGGTTCACCTAGGTATACAGACAGCACAGACCACTGCACTGGGCATCTTAGTAGTAGTAGTAAAGTAGTAGTAGGTAATCATCGGTAATTGTAATGGGTGGTGTTTCAAAATAAAAATGTAGGTAGGTANACACTTGGCTAAAAGTAGAGCAAGGTAGGGACGCTGAAATCCAAGACTTGATCAAAAAACATGAAAATAATGAGATCCCCGAAGCTGTCGCTCATACTTACGATGTACGAGACGGTATCTTATTTAGACAAATTAATCGCAATCGTATGCGAATGTGGCTTCCCATCGTTCCGCGCTCTCTTATTTGGACATTAATAAATCATGTGCATAACGAGGTCAAACATCTAGGACACGAAAAAACTCTGGATAAGATTTATGAGCTTTACTGGTTTCCCCAAATGTCTAAAAACGTTAAGAAGTTCGTAGAGTCCTGTATAGTTTGTAAAGCTTCTAAGGGACCTTCTGGTGCTCAGCAAGTCAGACTGCATCCTATACCTAAGGTGGCTGTTCCGTGGCACACCATACACGTTGATTTGACCGGCAAGCTCAGCGGCAAAAGCGACAAAAAAGAATATGTCTCGGTAATAATTGATGCATTCACAAAGTACGTTTTGCTAGAGTACACGCAGTCACTTAATGCCAATTGTGCAGTTAAAGCTCTTAAAAAAGCAGTAAGCCTATTTGGAACGCCTAAGAGAATCATAGCAGATCAGGGAAGATGTTACGTAAGTACTGAATTCAAACAATTTTGTATTGACCATAATATAGACCTCCACCTTATCGCGACCGGCTCTTCAAGAGCCAATGGTCAGGTAGAGCGTGTAATGAGAACTTTAAAGTGTCTCCTTACCATAATCGAGAATGACAGTAGTAAAGTATGGCGCGAAGAACTCGATGATGTCCAATTAGCCATGAATAGTACAAGATCTAGAGTAACTGGATTCACTCCTACTGAACTCATGTTCGGCATACGCGCGCAGTCGCTAGGCATGTCCAAAATTGCTCCAAAAACTAGTGATGAATCCACATCTCGTGACGACCTAGAAATTTTGCGGGGCGAGGCTTCGCGTAACATCGAAAATGCTAGCAAATCCGATAAAGAAAGATTCGATCGCGGAAGGGCAACTGTCAAACCATTTTCACCAGGTGATTATGTCTTTTTAAAGTGTAGCGAGCGCAATCAAACAAAACTCGCGCCGAAGTTCAAGGGTCCATTTATCATAGTTAGACTTCTTGAAAACGATAGATATGAACTTAGAAGTATCAATAGATCTAACCGTTTATACAAATACTCACACGAAAACTTGCGTGCAGTCCCGAGAGGTTTTGATGGGTTGGTTGATGTGTCAACAAGCCTAAACGCTGATGAGGAGGCACAGGATGCCGAGACGGCGGTCGATTTTGATCAGATTAGCCTAGAAAGTCAGCTTGATGTGGACAGTGATACACTCTCCGTGTCCAGTGAAGAGAATCTGACCACTGGCTCAGATGCTCTCACGGCCTCATCGACAGGAAATGAATTTTGAAAAGTCCGAACACATAGCCCAAGTACACCATGGTAAGCTTTGCGATTGACTGTTATGTTAGACATTAATAGAACGGTAGTGACTTAGAGTGGTTGAAGGGGCTGTTTACGCCCGGGCCACGCTGATGTAATGTTGGTTTCCTGGTCGCATGGCTGCATGCCTGGATCAGCAGTAGTAGTGGTGCGGTTTGAGGTAAATGGTTGAAGGAGCCTTGGCTTATGCCTTGCGCGTCGGGCCATGTTACCTATACCCTGGTTTCCTGGTCGCATGGCTGCATGCCTGGATCAGCAGTAGTAGTGGTGCGGTTTGAGGTAAATGGTTGAAGGAGCCTTGGCTTAAGCCTTGCGCGTCGGGCCATGTTACCTAAACCCTGGTTTCCTGGTCGAAGGGGCCTCACGCCCGGGCCAGCTGTAATGCATTGGTTTCCTGATCGAGGGTCCTCACGCCCTGATCAGCGGTATTGGTTGTGTTTCTATGATCTGGTTCAGTTAGAATGATATTTAGAGATTTCACACGCTCTGTAGTCAGGAATGGACGAGCTGTGATAATGACAAGTTGTATGTTTTGAACGTTTACAGATGGTCAAACCTTGGACTAAGCGCACGAGGCCGTGCGATAGTCAGGCTGGCCGNCAATGGCATTAACATTATTAAGTATTTAAAACCCGTGTTATTATTTGCATATGACGGCGCCGGACACCGATGCTGCAAATGATTAAATTAGCAATCTTTTGTAATTTTGTGATCTAAATAAATAAAAATATGTTGAACTGAAAGTGTGTGATTCCTAAACGTAACACCGACTAATGCGCAAAAAAAAAGGTAACTGTCAATCAGCTGTGTTCTGTCAAGTGTGGCAAAACAGAGAAAAGTGGGATGTTATCTTGTAAAAAGCGTGTTGAGTTCTGGTGGAACGTTGTATTGTGAATTACAGTGTTTATCCTCTTATTTCCTCATCTCCTTGCCCGCTAACCCACGCACGCACGCCAATGGAGATTCCAACCGATGAGGGCCAAGTGCCTTTATCAGAAGTGGGATCCGAAGGGCACGATTCAAATAAGGAGATGAATTCGCGATTCACTGACCCAAGACCCGAAGCAACAGCCACCAGTTTCTTCAGTGGCATGGAGGCCCTTTTGACACGGCTGCTAGCGGCAAGTTCTGTGCCGTCTACATCAGCAGGCACACCTACGCAGCTCATCAAGTTTGACCCGGAGGATGCTGACTCAGATATTGAGGGTTGGTGCAGGCTGACGGAAATCATAGTGAACTGTCGTAAACTCGAGGGGCCGGAACTATTACTTGCCCTCACGCACGCATTGAAAGGCAGTGCATTAACGTGTCTAACCAAGCTAAACACATCTGAAATAAAATGGCAACCAATACAAGAGATGTTGAAAGCAAAGTTTTCTAAATCAAAACTCATGCAAGATTATTTTGATGACGTCATGAAATTTCAAATTAGCAACAAGGAGACGGCTTCGGAAGCCGCCCTTCGTTTGTGGTCTCTAATAGAACGCATCCCAAAGGTAGATATGGCAGAAGAAGTTATCACCGGCTTTGCCATATCTGTGTTAAGCCAGCGTGATCCACTGATCCGACGCGAATTAAATTCACATGTTATAACAACGAAAGCACAATTTTGTCGTGTGTTAGGTGGTATATCATTGAAAAGAAAGTATGAAGATGTTGATAAACGCGACACAGAACCTGAAATCAAACGTGTTCGTGTTGATAGCCGATTTTCTGGACTTTGTCACTTCTGCGGTGTTCGTGGTCACAAATTAGAAGAATGTCGCAAGCGGCGTGATAATCCTAACTCCAATCAAAAGTTTAAACTTCCTGAAAAAGACAATATTACCTGCTACACTTGTGGAAAGACCGGTCACATCAGTACGACTTGTCAAGAAAAACAAGCTGCTACAGATTCACGAACGAAGAAAGAGGTCCACTTGTGTGAACGCCGTCTTCCGAGGGGTACACTGTCAACATCAGCGGGTGAGGCAATTCCATTCCTTTTTGACAGCGGTGCCGCTTGCTCTTTAATCAAAAGTAGCCTCGTTCATAAACTACCGGGTACTGCACGTAATTCCTTAGTTTATTTGACAGGTCTAGGCGGGAATGACATTGAATGTAACTCACAAATATTAAGCACTGTAAAAGTACAGGATCTTGAGCTACCTATTTTATTTCATATAGTGCCAGATAACGCAATATCCGAAAGTATTTTGATTGGTCGCGATATACTTGCTCACGATGTTCACGTCGATATCGAAAGTGACCTGATACAATTTTCAAATCGTAAAGAAGTTAATTCATGTTCCGTTAATAACAGTAAAATAGATTTCAGTTCCATAGATACAGATTTACAGGGTGAACACAGAGAAGCACTAATTAAGGTTTTAGGTAAATACAGCGAACATTTTATAGATGGAGTTCCTACCCGTAGAGTTAAAACTGGACAACTTAAAATTGACTTAATTGACCCTCATAAAGTTGTACAAAGGCATCCCTACAGGTTATCTCCAGCGGAAAAAGAAATTGTTAGAGACAAAGTTCAAGCATTATTGGATGCGGGTGTGATTCGCGAGAGCTCTTCACCTTTTGCAAGTCCAATCCTATTGGTTAAGAAGAAAGACGGTACGGACAGAATGTGCGTTGACTTTAGAGAGCTCAATTCAAATACACACCCAGAGCACTATCCCCTACCGAGGATTGATGAGCAAATCGATCGTCTGAACGGATCACATTACTTCTCAACACTAGACATGGCCTCAGGCTACCATCAGATCACGGTTGATCCAGACTCCATCGAGAAAACTGCTTTCGTAACACCAGAAGGGCAATATGAGTACCTTGCGATGCCTTTTGGATTACGAAATGCAGCTTCCGTTTACCAGCGCTGCATAAACAAAGCCTTAGCATCTCTTAAAGATACAGTTGCCTCCGCTTATATGGATGACGTCTTATGTTTTTCCTCTGATATTTCCCAGGGTTTAAGGCGTTTAGACGCCGTTCTTGCTGCCTTATCTGAGGCAGGGTTTTCATTTAACCTCAGCAAATGTAAATTCATGAAGTCTGAAGTTCGCTATCTAGGTTATGTGATACGTGCTGGAGAAATTAGACCAAACCCTCAAAAGATCCAGGCTCTCATTGATGCTCCAACTCCTTCCACGGCCACACAGGTCAGGCAATTCTTGGGACTAGCCTCCTATTTCCGCCGTTTCATACCCAACTTTGTTCATATTGCTGGTCCTCTGTATCCACTTACAAAACTTAAGGGTCCCATCACCTGGACAGAAGGACACAACGAAGCACACAAAAAAATAGTTGCCGCTCTTACCTCCTCACCTGTCTTGACTATTTTTGATCCCCAAGTTCCAATAGAACTACACACAGACGCTAGCTCCGATGGTTATGGAGCAGTTCTAATTCAAAGGCGAGAAAACGTTCCCCAAGTTGTAGCTTACTTCAGTCGTCGTACTGCTGACACGGAATCCAGGTATCATTCCTATGAACTGGAAACTTTGGCAGTGGTGCGCGCGATTGAACACTTTAGGCATTACTTGTATGGCCAACACTTCACGGTATTTACGGATTGTGCTTCTTTGAAGGCTTCTAAGTCCAAAATTGACCTATCTCCCCGCGTGCACCGTTGGTGGGCCTACTTGCAGGCATACGACTTTACTATCGTCTACAAAGAAGGAAAGAACATGAGTCACGCTGATTTCTTTTCAAGGAACCCTCTTCCGGCTGACCAAACACCTGACTTAGACCTTATCAATAATCCCATACAAAGCATCGCAAGCAAAGCTGTCAATTATGTAGAGCTACATGACACTTGGCTAAAAGTAGAGCAAGGTAGGGACGCTGAAATCCAAGACTTGATCAAAAAACATGAAAATAATGAGATCCCCGAAGCTGTCGCTCATACTTACGATGTACGAGACGGTATCTTATTTAGACAAATTAATCGCAATCGTATGCGAATGTGGCTTCCCATCGTTCCGCGCTCTCTTATTTGGACATTAATAAATCATGTGCATAACGAGGTCAAACATCTAGGACACGAAAAAACTCTGGATAAGATTTATGAGCTTTACTGGTTTCCCCAAATGTCTAAAAACGTTAAGAAGTTCGTAGAGTCCTGTATAGTTTGTAAAGCTTCTAAGGGACCTTCTGGTGCTCAGCAAGTCAGACTGCATCCTATACCTAAGGTGGCTGTTCCGTGGCACACCATACACGTTGATTTGACCGGCAAGCTCAGCGGCAAAAGCGACAAAAAAGAATATGTCTCGGTAATAATTGATGCATTCACAAAGTACGTTTTGCTAGAGTACACGCAGTCACTTAATGCCAATTGTGCAGTTAAAGCTCTTAAAAAAGCAGTAAGCCTATTTGGAACGCCTAAGAGAATCATAGCAGATCAGGGAAGATGTTACGTAAGTACTGAATTCAAACAATTTTGTATTGACCATAATATAGACCTCCACCTTATCGCGACCGGCTCTTCAAGAGCCAATGGTCAGGTAGAGCGTGTAATGAGAACTTTAAAGTGTCTCCTTACCATAATCGAGAATGACAGTAGTAAAGTATGGCGCGAAGAACTCGATGATGTCCAATTAGCCATGAATAGTACAAGATCTAGAGTAACTGGATTCACTCCTACTGAACTCATGTTCGGCATACGCGCGCAGTCGCTAGGCATGTCCAAAATTGCTCCAAAAACTAGTGATGAATCCACATCTCGTGACGACCTAGAAATTTTGCGGGGCGAGGCTTCGCGTAACATCGAAAATGCTAGCAAATCCGATAAAGAAAGATTCGATCGCGGAAGGGCAACTGTCAAACCATTTTCACCAGGTGATTATGTCTTTTTAAAGTGTAGCGAGCGCAATCAAACAAAACTCGCGCCGAAGTTCAAGGGTCCATTTATCATAGTTAGACTTCTTGAAAACGATAGATATGAACTTAGAAGTATCAATAGATCTAACCGTTTATACAAATACTCACACGAAAACTTGCGTGCAGTCCCGAGAGGTTTTGATGGGTTGGTTGATGTGTCAACAAGCCTAAACGCTGATGAGGAGGCACAGGATGCCGAGACGGCGGTCGATTTTGATCAGATTAGCCTAGAAAGTCAGCTTGATGTGGACAGTGATACACTCTCCGTGTCCAGTGAAGAGAATCTGACCACTGGCTCAGATGCTCTCACGGCCTCATCGACAGGAAATGAATTTTGAAAAGTCCGAACACATAGCCCAAGTACACCATGGTAAGCTTTGCGATTGACTGTTATGTTAGACATTAATAGAACGGTAGTGACTTAGAGTGGTTGAAGGGGCTGTTTACGCCCGGGCCACGCTGATGTAATGTTGGTTTCCTGGTCGCATGGCTGCATGCCTGGATCAGCAGTAGTAGTGGTGCGGTTTGAGGTAAATGGTTGAAGGAGCCTTGGCTTATGCCTTGCGCGTCGGGCCATGTTACCTAAACCCTGGTTTCCTGGTCGCATGGCTGCATGCCTGGATCAGCAGTAGTAGTGGTGCGGTTTGAGGTAAATGGTTGAAGGAGCCTTGGCTTAAGCCTTGCGCGTCGGGCCATGTTACCTAAACCCCGGTTTCCTGGTCGAAGGGGCCTCACGCCCGGGCCAGCTGTAATGCATTGGTTTCCTGATCGAGGGTCCTCACGCCCTGATCAGCGGTATTGGTTGTGTTTCTATGATCTGGTTCAGTTAGAATGATATTTAGAGATTTCACACGCTCTGTAGTCAGGAATGGACGAGCTGTGATAATGACAAGTTGTATGTTTTGAACGTTTACAGATGGTCAAACCTTGGACTAAGCGCACGAGGCCGTGCGATAGTCAGGCTGGCCGTGACGGCGCCGGACACCGATGCTGCAAATGATTAAATTAGCAATCTTTTGTAATTTTGTGATCTAAATAAATAAAAATATGTTGAACTGAAAGTGTGTGATTCCTAAACGTAACACCGACTAATGCGCAAAAAAAAAGGTAACTGTCAATCAGCTGTGTTCTGTCAAGTGTGGCAAAACAGAGAAAAGTGGGATGTTATCTTGTAAAAAGCGTGTTGAGTTCTGGTGGAACGTTGTATTGTGAATTACAGTGTTTATCCTCTTATTTCCTCATCTCCTTGCCCGCTAACCCACGCACGCACGCCAATGGAGATTCCGTAGCATTGGAGTACTTTTGTCGGACTTTATAACTTTGAAAGCTGTGCATTTAGCCACTTGTTACTCTTTATTGTCCTCACGTACGTTGTATGGTTCACACTGCGTCCCATATAGTGCCGTAAGTCAGCCTTAAGTACGATGTTACTACTTAAACTGCTATTATAATGCTATTATACTGCTAATGTACAGCCATAGTGAACTTAAAGCTGTCTAATTTGTGCCCAAACTGGTTCTATAAAAGCATTATAGCAAGCTATACAGCTCGTATACAGCTGACATACACAGCTTGTGGAGTACATGTGAACGACTATTGAACTCTTAAATGGAGTAAAATGTTACTTGGGTATACTCTGATTTTCTGTCACTGTACTTTAATACCCTTGAGTTCTAATCCTTGCATCAGGGAAGAGCACAGCTGGCCAGTGCCAGAGGGAATAAGGTTTTTTTAAAAGAATGAATAACAAGTTAAGTTATTTTTAAAAAATGTCGAGTTCACCAAGTCCAGCGGGGTCCGAACTACCGACCCTCGAATAGCAGTTCAACACCGACATCATTGGGCTATAATAATCTCCATTCTTACCATTTACCTATTACCTATAGTATATTGCCTCCAAATTCAATAGAGACCCATTAATAGATAACCAACGAAATTAAATTAAGTGACACTAAAAATCTCGCGTGAACAAATAAAATAACCCTTGTTGTTTTAAAATATCATATCACTTTGTCATAATGTCACCCGTTGAAATATTTTTATTCCGCTTCACAGATTTATCCGTGCAAAATGCAAAATAAAATAATCACACACAGCTTATTTTTTTCTGAATTCACAGTTGAATAAAATTTTCGCGTTCAGTATGAATAAATGGGACTGAATTTTTTACCGAAACATCCGTTTGGCTGTCATATAAAAATGGTATTGTTGTTTTAACGCGTTTTTAAGTTGTAATGTTCGCGCCAATCATTGGCCTATTTGTTATTATTGTAGACAGGTAGTTAACAGATGACCGTCTGGCCAAATGGTTCGTGAACCAGACTGATAAATCTCTCACGGGTTCGATTCCCGCACAGTGAAAAATATTGGATCGGTTTTGGTGTTTCTGCATAGGAATATTATTTACAAAAAAAAAGAACTCACGACTCACGCACAAAGGGTTCCGTACCATTGATTTATGAAGTATTTTTTTTTATTAAGTTATTATTTGTAAGAAAGATTACGCGGTAATAAGCGGTTTACGATTTAAGAGGTATTAGAAAAAACTACTTGCTAGATCTCGTTCAGAACAATTTTCGTTGGTAGTTTTTTATAGTAATGTACATTATATGTTTTTTTTTCAGATTTTTCATTTTCTTATTTTAGAAGTTAGAGGGGGGGACCAACTTTTTTCCACTTAGGAAGCTTCTGTCACGCAAACTATTCGGTTTAGAAAAAAAATATTTTAGAAACCTCGATATCGTTTTTGAAGACCTATCCATAGATACCCAAGATGAAAAAAAAATATTTGATGAAAAAAAAAAGTTTGTGTTTCAGTTCTAAGTATGGGGAGCCCCCAATATTTATTATTATTTTTTTATTTTTGCATCAAATCTTAATGCGGTTCACAGAATACATCTACTAACCAAGTTTCAACAGTATAGCTCTTATAGTTTCGGAAAAAAATGGCTGTGACGTACGGACGGACGGACAGACAGACATGACGAATCTATAAGGGTTCCGTTTTTCGCCATTTGGCTACGGAACCCTAAAAAATTAAGTTTATCTGGGGGCACGGCAGTGCCCCCACCAAGTCGAGCAAAA